TTTTCAGTGTTATTAGTTTTACTATCTTCAATAGAAAATCACCTTTTCCCCTCCTAGCCACTCATCAACAATGCAGCTCAAAATGAAGGCTTGCATGAAACACACTAGGGTGGGAAAAGTATCCATTTCTCCCCACATAATCTCTCAAAATGTGACTGGATTCCGATGACAATTTGCATTCGTAAAGGTGAGAATACGCTGCTCTTCCCTTGACAAATACACTGGTAGCAAGCCTCAAGCAGTGCTGACACAAGAGCAAGGATTATTTGGCTTAAAGTTTCTCATCTGAAGTTTTGAGACCAGACATCCAGAGACTCTGAAGAGACTGAGGCAACCTGGCTAGGGTGCACGACAGTGAATTCAACAAATATTGGAGTATTACACTATGCATGATCTTCTGTGCTCATAGTGTGACTTAAAAAATCCAAGCATTACAGGCAAGAACACTGCCTACAACAACTGGCCACTGTTCTTCTGTAACCACTAGGCAGTGCATTTCTTAGGAACACTGTACTTCTTTCAAGCGTAAAAATAACTAATTTCTGCATTTACAGAAAAAAAAAGTCATGTTACAACACTGTAACAACAGCCTTGTATCTCCTGCTGAATCACGGTCATCAAAATGTACAAAATCTTTTGACCGCCTCTCATTCAATATATAGACTAGTGGTTTTTGTCTGTGAATGAGGACATGCAAATACCAAAACAAAGTTGTTCTCAAACACAATAAATACACAACAGGTAATGGGAGCTATGAACACAAGCTACAGGAGAAAACAAGAAAAACCAATAAAGGTACATATTGACTTGGCAGCACTTCTAACAAGCATGACCACATTGTGATTTCCTGTTGCAAGATAAAGAAAGAAGAGAATGGAAAACAAAATATAATCATATAAAACAAAATTAAAATTAATAATAATCCCTTTTCAATTAAAAGAATATAAATATTCTGTATGCTTAGGAACTAACTCAAAGAACTTACATAACAATAAGAATTTTTTTTTAAAGGAAACCAAAGAAATAATACTGACATAACTACAAGGTCATGCATGTCAAACCTGCTATAAATCAACCCTTGATTGCAGCTTTGGTTGTGAAGTTATAAATATGCACTGACATCTCCATGAGCACTTCATTTTCTTTCCTTCTGTTCATTCTGTATCTTACTATACAATATAGCTTCATAAACAACACCAAGTAAATAGTATTGGTACAGAGTTCACCGAGCTCCTGAGGTTCATCCGTTGTGGTCATCGCAAGAGAATCACCACAAGCAACAGAGCCTTGTTAATTCCACACTGCGATCTTTTTGAAATCATAATGGGGATGAAGGCAAGAGTGTCACAGAACCCTTGCATAGTTTTCACAAGTTTAGAACTCTCCAAAACATTATTACTTTCATTTTTTTATTTTTATTTTTTATTTTTTACAGATTTATTCATTATCTGACTTATCTATCTTTTATTACATTTTTTAATTCTCTTATTTGGATCCTCTGCCACAGGAGACAAGAACAGACTGGTGTAAATGGCTTGACGCTAAAGAGTGGAAAAATCTCGGATGAGCAATGGTTATTGTTCGGGTGGCCTGTTCCGCAGGCAAGAGCGCACGCTGGTCGGACCGAACAACAAAACAATTAAGCACAGGTCTAGTATCAACACAGCCTGGGTACCGCTCGCATAATAATGATAATAACAGTATCTAGTTCCTGGGAGCGGCCGCCGAACTGTTGGTGGCTGCCATGGTCACGTCTCCACCCCCTTGCCCTCCACCTCCTCCTCCCTCCCGGGGCGGACTCTTCACGTGGATTTGGTTCTTGATGAGCGCTGAGCGAAGGATGAGTCCCTTGACCCGCATGACATGCTCCCGACCCATCTCCAGGGACCTCTCGAAGGTCATGCTCCTCTCCTCTACTGCTTTGGCGTACAGGATCTGTGGAGACACCAAGACTTTTGAATAATCTTGGCTGCTAAATATTAGGCAAATGTGCTTTAGCCTATGAAAAAAAGAATAAAGATAGAGAGGGGAAATCAAAGAGGATGAGGGAGAATAAAAGAAGAAGGGGAAATAGAGAGTAAGATGGAGAGAAAGGAGAAAGATGGAGAGAAAGGAGAAAGATGGAATGAGAAACAAGAGGAATAAAGATAATAAAAGAGGGAATAAAATATAACAAAGCTCCAACTCGGGCAGCAAAATCAGAGCACAAGCTCCGATCTAGCGTGGCATCGGTGGGACAGCCGGCCATGTTCCTTATTCCGGGCGTCACATACGTGTGACACCCGGCGCAAGTGGGTTAAGCTATGACAAGAGCTATAAAGGTGTAATTTATGGGAAAAAAATCTTGAGGGTGTGGCCCATGGGGGGAGAGGGGAGCCAGACCTTGAGGGGGCAACCAGAGTCTTGGGGGAACAAATGTCCCCCCAAATGATGACCTTGATGAAGAAAGACAAGAATGGAATGAGAAAGAATTAAAGAGAAATACATAGAGATGAAGAGAAATAAAATGGAGGGAACAGTGATGCATAGAGAAAATTAGATGTACAAAGAAAGAAACACATATGGGCATTTTAGAATTGGAAAAAAAATTATCAATATTTACATATGCCCTTCTTGGCATTTTCATAAGACAATAAGGAACAAAACAAAACACCAAAATTTACCTTGTTGTGGGAATCTATCCGCGCCTGAATTTGTCCTTCTAGTATAAGGGCCATTAGTTCATCTTCTAAAGCTGAGATGGTTGTGTTAAAGGCTGCAGCCATTTTTTCCAGGTCTGCACTCATGTATGGGCTGGAAGAATACAAGTTACATGTTAATAACAAAAAACAATAAAAATACAAACCTGAAAAGGAAGCATTTATACATTATGTCTTAAAATGACTGATACATACAGATATATGAAAGACACAAGATAAAAATATCTTAAACACTGGCTAGCCAATGTATAATCTAATTATATGAAAACCAAGTTAACCTGGTATGTGAGTTTTTGCAACTAAAAACATTCACCAATAATCTATTTATGAGTAAACCACATTATCCAACCCTCTTTTTATCCAACATCTACCCCACTGTACTTGCATTTCAAACTCTTAGCTCCAAAACCAGATCATAGGCCACAAAGAATATACGTTTTCACATCCATAATGGTAATACGATCATTAATATTCGAGCAAAAGAAATAAAATAAGATGAAACACTACTATACTATAAGAAATCAGAAGATAGAGAAAACTAATCCAAAAAGAGAGCAATGAATCTGGCTCAGTAAACACTTGGATAATAGTTGGAGCTGGATCTAAGCAAAAAGTAAAGGGATATATTAGTCCAGCTCCATCTGCAGTCATTCATGTGAGTGACCCCACCCACAAGCTTCAAAGTCCAATGTGAGGCAGCAAATTGTCAATTCTCCTTGGATACTGTGGAGGCTTATACCTTATGATCTTATGGAGGCTTATGATCCAGGTGATGTGACCATCCCCTCATGGAATAGTTTAGGTCAAGGGCTGGGTGACATGAACATGCTGTCATAAGACATAATGGCAGCGGACCAGCTGATGCAAACTTGCCTTCACTGGTAGTGGTTTAAATTAATTATCCCTTCTACCTATGATCTTTAAAGTTAATGCAATCAGAACATTGTTGTACAGATGTTTTCATATTTGTTCAGACTGGCATTCTATTAACAGAGAACTTCAATTCTTAGAAACCTTCTTTTTGAAAAACAAATTTCTCCTGGCTGTTATTCAAAAACAAATAAGGCTATTCTTAAACAAGATGCTCTGTCCTAAACCAAAAAATTACAATGTACCTATGAACACTAGGTTCAATATCAAGGAATCTAAAGATGAGATATTGCGAGCACAAAGGGGTCTCTTATCGGACATTATGTCCACTATCTTCTCCAATGCATTTACTAATCCGGGATCTCTCACTTAAAACAAATCATGAAATAAAACCAGATGACTTCAAAATAATGATGAAAACAGAAGTTATAACAGATGTCAGAATCTTAGAATCATTACTGATTAAAGAAATAAAACCTGACATAAACAACAATGAAAGCTCAGTTACTCTTTATACACTGAAATAATTTACATGTTACCCCCACCCCCCACCCCCCCACACACACCCCTCACTCTCAACGGACCTCCAGACATTCAAACCTCTGAAAACTACTATGTTTTACATTTTTGCATTACTATTATCTTATTTATCCTTATTAGTGTTGTAATTATTTATTCAATATT